ATATTATATTGATATTATAATGATTGTTTCCCGATGCATCGTGGGTCAAAAATAGTTATAGGTTACATGTTTCCAAAAAGTCTGCACTGTTCCAAGAAAGTGCCGAATTTACAAAAAGCCGGGGATCGTCGGTCCAGTTGAAAATTGGAAAAAAGAAAACTTGATTGTTTTTTTCATAACCTAAGCTCTTATACTCTGATTGTTTATAATAATGTGATATTTTACACTCTCTATTAAAATTCAATATTCAAAGCACATTCACAGAAGCGGAGGCTCAAAGCAGGGCTTACTTAAGTAATATTATTATCATTACGACCCTTACAGTTCGCAGTGCCAAGTTGTTCTAATCAGCAATGTTTTGATCAACCCGTTCACAGTTCTTCAGCACAGTCATACCTATTTCTGTCAGCGCCTGCCTTCTGGGATCGATGGTTGGTTGACTTTATCGGAAACAATTTCCATTACGCGTGTTACTATAATTAGACTAGATCGAAGCCCGCGGACGATATTGCAAAGAAAGATTCTCGCCCTTACACGTTTTAAAGCGACAAAATATTGCTATCGCGGATACTATTATTATTATAGTCAAACATAATATTATTACAGATCGCAAGCAAAGGCGCAGAATGGAAGCACTTGAACACACTGGTAGCGTGTGTACGGGTTTGCATGAGTGTCTGTGTGTGGGTGTGAGGATGGGTTAGACGTAGCAAGCACAAAAGGCTTACACATTGGCTAGTTAATTCTCTATTAGTACAACATGTTTTCTATTTCTTTAGCTGTCCTTGACACGATGCAAGACCGATAATGATACTTTATTTTAGTGGAAACACTGCAAGTGCGGCAAGTTGTAAGCATAACCTCGCAAACACTTCAAGGTTCTTGAACAGGGCATGGCCTTCAAAATAATATGAGAGCTGTGGGTACTTTGAAGAGAACAAAAAAAGTTCACCTAATCCTTAATGCCAATCAATAATAATTTTTCGAGCAAAGAGGAGCACAACAACTCGACTAAGACCATTTAGTGTGCGAAAAAAGCAGGATAAACAGAATAGAGAAGGGGGGGGGCGGTTA